CAGCCTCCCTTCTCGCTTCTTTATCTGAGGAAAAGACAATGGCACGCTCTAACTTGTATTAGACCACTGAATCTATAGAACACAAAGCACATTTCTTTAAATTTTAAGCATATGCATGCACTTGCATCCTTCTAATTCTGCACCCGGTGGGGTTTTTTTCCCAGCTCATTAAGAAGTTTTTCTCTGTAAATGCTGTGACTTCGTCTTTTTAGTGTCAAAGGGTGTTTGTTATTCTGTTTGCTTGTGAAAAATTTGCTTCATGGGTTATTTTCTCCTAATTATCTGTGGGACCGAAGACTGGCACTACAAATGAAGGACAGCACAAACCAAGGACATATTCATCAAAATACAAAAGAGGTTGCCCGAAGAGGTAAGATACAAGATACACATAGCTTCCATCTTTCAGCATGCTATGGGATGCTGATAGGAGACAGACTCTTACGCTACAATCATGGGGAAGCAAGAGGTGGCAGGGGATGCCCACAGATACCTTGCATACATGTGGTTCCCACAAGAGATGGGGTTGGCATTTCAAGGAGAAGGTGCACGAAGTCCCATTTCCCCTCCTACAGCTGGGGACAGCACATGTTATTGCAGGCCACACCTGCAAACGCCGCAGGAACCCGTGCCAGAGACAGACAGGGAGGTGGACAGCAGAAGCAACAAGTTCACCACCACGGGGCTGCAGCACCCTCTGTGCAGACGTTATGCAAAGCGGGCAACTGTATGCGGTGGTTTGCTTTTGACTGGCCTCTGCTGACTCAGTTAGCAGAACTGCTGTAACACTTTAGCAGATACTCCAAAATACCTATTTACTCCATCGCTATCCAGTGAACCGATATGACTATTCAGCCCAGATGGACAACAGCCTATTGCTAGAGTGCTTTCAGTGCAATAAGGTGTTTTCTGCCCTTTTTCCATATTCACCTTTTCCTATTGCTTCTTGGTGCTTTTCCGCTGCCTTAAACTACAACTCATCACGACTCTGCTCATCAGCTGAGCCCATCATCATGGTATCTGAGCACTTTTGTTGCAGCATCTGGGCTCAGGGCTAGCTGTTATGGGCCTGCTCAATAGT